CTCTCACATCCCCGCACCACCGGCCCCGTCCCCACGGCCCCGGGGCGGCCTCGGAGCGCTGCGGGCCCCGGCGCTGCCTTCTGCTGGCACTCGGCGTCCAGGAAATCCGCAAAGCGGTTGGAAAAGAGTGGAAGCCGTGACATCACGCGGGGCAGGAGGGTGAGGGAGCGGCTCCGTCCGAGCAGCGCGCTGCGCTCGGGACCGCGGGGAGCTCCGTGCTGACACGCGGACCTCAGAAGCGATGCTCGCGGCCGCGCGGCCCGGCCATTCCTTCCTTACGGCTTCGGGCAGAAGTTGCGGAGCTCTGCGTCCCCGCACCGAGGCAAATCCCCGCCCCGCCGCCTCCGGATCTCTTTCCTCCAAACCCTGCAAAAGGACGGAATCCATCTCCGTAGCTGCCGCTCTCTGGAGAGATCTGTGCCCGTACCGGGAGCTGCCCTCCGTGCGACCGCCGTGCTGCGGAACAGCACGCACAGTGAATAGTGTCCTACTGGGATAAAACGGTGAGTCCCTCACTTTTCTTACTTTTCTTTTTCTTTCTTTCTTTCCTTTTTTTTTCCTTTTAAAATAGCGGAGTTCTGTTTGTTTGTTTGTTTGTTTTACTGTTGTTTTCCTTTGTTTTGTGGTTGTTTTGGTCGTTTTGTTTTCCTTTTCCTTCCTTCCTTCACAGAGGAGGGGAGCAGTTCTCGGAAGCACAAACCAGCCGCGAGCGCCGGTAGAGGCAGCGTTGGGGCTGAGACAGCTCTTCCAGGCACTGCCCCATCCGCACACCGACCTTGGGGCTGACACGGGGCTCCGCTGGCTCAGCTCGCTCAGCTGCCCCGATCAATGTCACGGCTGTCAGAGGGCCGCGGTTACACTTTCCCCTGCTGACAGCTCATACAGAGCTATCTTTCTCCCTTCTCCACCCGGACCTGCTATCAAACCCAAGAAAACTAGACAACCGAAAGAAATAGCAGAGTCGTCTGCATTGCTCGGGGCAGCTCCTGCACTGTCCTGCCCAGGAGCGTCGCAGAGGAGCAGTTCTGGGGCGCTGTTATGCCCATGATGACACGGTGCTGACACGGTGCTGGTACAGCCTTTAGCACCCAGCTCTCCACCTGTCACACAACGAATGGCTTTGATGCACAGCTCCAACACGGGGAAATGGCGCCGAGCCCCTCGGTGACGTGATGGGGAGCAGGAGCAGAAATCTTTCGTTGTGGGACTTCGGGATGGCTGTGCCACACTTCCAGCCACAACCAAACCCTGCACAGCACTGCCACAGCCACGTATGGGCACGGAGCCACGTGCAGAGCTGCAGGCAGCGAGTGTGCTCTGCGATGGCCGGGCACAAACACACCGTGAGCCAAAGGTGGGTGCACCAGGTCAGTAATTACAGCCTGTCTGAAACCACAGCTACGGCTGTACCACTTATTTCTAGATGCTAAACAGGCCCTAAACAGAAAGCAAGGAACTGTCCTTATCACCCCGGTGTTCAATTCAAGCAAGCCCCACATCTGCTGCTGAACAAGAGCTGCCTTCCATGATATCACATCATCCCCTATGCTGAGAACAGGTGATGAGTGCTGAGGCAGCTCACTGTTCACTGACTGGAATAGGGTAGTTTATAAAATTAAGTTAATGATTACGTCTGTGTGGAGCGGGGCCTCCAGTTTTTAACAGAGAGATGAAGAAACAGAGCAAACCCCACATTCTGTGGGTTTGCAGCAGTGTTGGTCTGCTGGTTCCACCTGGTTGTGCCTTTATGGAGCAGCGGGGAGGTGCTGCAGGCATTTAACACAATAATGGCTAATTGAAACTTTTTATTTCTAAAATAGCACCATGTTTTATACATATTAAAATCATATTAAAGCTGACTTGCCAGACTCTCCTGAGCACCACTACAGCCAGTTAAAAAGCCTGTTAAGAGCCAATTAAATTCTATAACAAGCACACGATATAAAACAATTAAGTGGTGGCAGCTCTTTTCTGTTAGCTTATTTCTCTGCCTTTGCATTTCTACGCAAATCTTATTTTAAAGTGTTGTACAGACCCACCAAAGTGCCCTCCCAGCAGAGCAGAAGCAAAATCTCTCCCCACTCCCATGGAACCAAGTAGGCTGGAGCTGGATGTGCAGCAGAGTGCGCCCACTGAACGCTGAAGAAAATCACACTGATGAGAAATGCTTAAAGTAAAGTTCCCAAACTGAACACCCAGGTGTCTGAAGTCCCACAGATGGTCCCTGCAGGGTGGGCTCGGTGGTGCCAAGCTGGGCACCAAGCAGTGCCTGATGTCCACGGTCCCAGGCAGCCTCCGTGGCCATCACCAGACCAGGGCATGGCCAGCAGCTATGGGGAGCTTCACCTGCAGAAGGCAATGGGAACTGGGGATCCTAGGCACAGCACACACAGAAGGTGAAACTGATTTACTACCTTGGGATGGAATAATGTTTTTAGAATAAAATTATGCTACATGGATTAGGATTTCCTGTATGCTGTTTACATTCCTGAGAGCCTTTATCTGTTTTAATCTCTATAGTTTGGCTGAGATTCAGTGGATGTTTAAAAATGAAACTTTTGCTGCAGGAGTCTTGGTCATAAGGGTGCAGGGCTTGGGCACAAGGAAACTGAGGGATGGCAGGGAGCAGATGGCACTGGTTTGCCATAGATGTGTGCATGGGGGGAGGATTGCCTTTCCTGTGACAGGGAACTTCACAGTTGCAGCAGTACAGGTGTGCTGCCCAGAGCCATCCCAGTGCTGTACGGCCAAGCTGAGCAAAGGTGCTGTGCCTCCTTTGTGCCTCACGCCTTGGCAGGAGAGATCCCACTAAAACCTTCTTTCAGGACTTTGCCCAACACTGGTCATGGAGTGGTGTGATGACATGAAGGCTGGTTTCACCTTGCTTGCTTCAGTGGGTACTCCAACAGCTGTGCCCTCAGTGGAGGTACACACCTGGTGACCTCCCAGCTTGCACCAAGGACACCAACAAACCCCCATCCTGGGACCCCACTCAGGGCGATGCTCACACTACAAAACACCTGTTCTGGTTCCTACTGATGTTGCTGTGGTGCTAAAGGAAGGCAGGCAGCTCCTGGTCTGCACTCTGTGAGGGCAAACACTGCCTGCATCAGTGCAGTGCCACCACCTCAGGCCAAATGAGAGCTGTTTTCTGCCCTGTCTGCCCTGCAGCCTGCCGTTCGATACGACACATTTCTACTTACCACATCCAGCACAGAACCGTAAACCCATATATGGACACAGCCGCTTAAGAAGTTTAAACAATTTTGCTTTTCTGTACGTATATTATGACACTTCCAAATTTTTTGGACGAAATTCCACCACCCGATAGCGATCTGAGCCGCAGACGGGTTCGCTTAGCTCAGTTCTAGGCCTTATCCGCCAGCTTCTTCCCTTCGCCTCCCGCTCACTGCGCAGGGCCGGGGGCTCCCGCAGCATCCCGGGGCTGGGGATCGAGGGCCGGGTCCGCGGCTCAGGGCCGGCGGATCTCGGGCCGCGGGTGCCCTCTGCCGGGCCCCGCCGCAGCGCCAGCGTCCCCGGTACATCGCGAGGGATGAGAGCAGCATCGCAGCGTGTGACCGCCTAAGTCGGATCTCTCCGGCAGCTTTTTCATCATTTCGGTTCCAAAAAAGAGGACGCAAAAGCTGAGACTGTAAAAAGCCTAATTAATGAGGATCATTGTCTCAAAGAAAGCCTAATTAATGAGGATCATTGTTTCAAAGAGGTTTGACGTCGGTGGCAATAGAAACGCCTCTGCGCATCGGACCGTTGGGATACTGGCACCAGCAGACCAACTGCAATGTTCTGAGATCCTCCAGCACCAACGAAACTCCTGTTTAATCTCAGAGATGCCATGGAAGAACCAGGGTGCACGGCAAGACACAGGACAACCTCCTCAAACCCATGCTGCTGGTCCCTCTTCCTGCACACCAGCTCACCAGCTGCCTCCTCCTAAAGCTCCAAGCTGTACTAAAGCAGCATGCTCTTTCCAACTTCTCTCCCTCCCCTCCCCTCCACCATTTTGGTCCTAACTCCTACTCTTGCCTCCCAAGGCTCTTTGAGATCTCAGTCCATCCCAGATGCACTCCCAGAGAGCTCACATACCAAACCAAGACAGCAGTTTCCCAAGCCCGTTGCTCTTACAAAGCTCCCGCACGCTCCCTTTTCCCAAATCCATACCATACGCTCCAGCCATGCTCTCTGCTGATACTTTCTTTGATTCCAAGGCAGGAAGCTGATCAGCACTGTTAGGATTGGGCCCAAGGACTCCAAAAGCTCTGCCAGCCTGCCCTTGGCCAAACACGGCTTCCAGCACAGCCTTGTGCTTGCAAGCAAACGGCACAGACCCGTGATGATCCCTTGTCTTCTCCTGACCCCTCATTTGTCACCCTGCCAGCCCTCCCGTAAGACAGCACCACTCAGCTGCAAGGAAGGGTTCCCTTTCCAACACCCTGCAGCAGACAGCCAACCGTACTCAGAGCTTCTTTTCCTTCCAGTTCATGCTGAGCTCCTAAGCAAAAACTAAACGGTGGTGATCAAAACCCACACCCCTGGGAACCAAATAATTCTGCAGCTGTTTCCTGATCTTTTTAACCAAGCCCACGTTCCCTCAGCCTCCTCTCAGCCTGCTTGCTGCTGAGAGTCCCAGTGAGTGGGAACTGGGCATCAGCTTCCAGCTTTCCTCTCCGAATGACAAGCCTTTGAGTTTTAAAGGATAGCCTGTCCTCCAGCAAGCTATGGAAGAGCCTTTCAGTTTGACATTTTTATAAACACTAACCTTTTTATACTCACTGTTTGTTGTTGGAGGAAATCCCTTCTATTTCTTACGCATGTATAACATACAAAACAATTGAATTAATACCATATGGGGGTAGAGGGGTGAAAAGTCACGTCTACAGCCAAAATAGTTCAGGAAAACTGTACAGCTGAGGTTTAAGATTGCCTACAGTGACTTTGAATTTTGTTTAGACATCAGTGTTAATACTTCGTATGGATTATGTGCAGATTACAACAGCATGTGCTGCACGCTGTGTAATTTATGAACTATTAAACTTAATTCTTATGCTTTGGGGTTGTGAGTTATAACCAAGCAGAATCTAAACTACCACCAAATGGAAGACTTTCTCTTTTTCTTGATTAACATAAAACTTCAGTGAGTTGGCAGGGTGTGCAAAACCCAAGGCCGAATACTTGCATTCTCATCCTCAGCAAGCTGATAGCTCAGGTTTTAGAAATTTCAGTATCTTCTACGCCCTTCACAAGTATAACAGCAGCGATAGAGCTCCCAGCAGTGCCATCTGACTGGCTGAGTGCTGTATGTGAGACAGCGAGGTGGCAGCGAGGAAGTGCTTTTGTGCCTCTGAACTACAGAGGAGGGGCTGATGGTTACACTGAGTAATGTGGGTGTGTTCATTCAGAAAATCTGCAGGCATCCCGGCAGCATTGACAACAAGTCTGCACAGTCCTCAAAAACAGAGCTGCAATTTCTTGATTGTGGTGGCATGGGGTGTTATTTTCACCTGGCTTGACTAGACACCAACCCAGCGGTGACAGCAGGGAGCTCAGGGCAGGCCAAGCCTCAACACTGGCTTACTTGGGCTCTCGTGAATGACATTTCTCGCTCCCAATCCATGAGTTTACACAGCAGATCTTCGACAAACAGCTCTGCAGAGGAGAAAGAAGGAACCACTATAAAAAATATACCTGGAAATCCTGAGCAGCAAAGAGGAGGTGCTGCTACTGCCCCGACACAAAGCTGCAGGCAGAGGTGGTCCCCACAGCCTTCCTCAGCCCTATCTCACCCATCTACTGGCACTGCTCAGAGAACAACCAAGGTTTGGCCGGATGGAGCTTTTGTTCCTTATGGATATTCAGCATCTGGGGCTCTATCCAGCAGCTGAAACACCATAAGGACTTCTACAAATTACACCCTTCAATAAATTATATTTTACTTTGACACATTTTAGTGTTTACAAGGTTTACTCGGGAGATGAAACAAAAGTTAATTACATCAACTGATACGTCAAGAAAATGGATGGATTTGATATCCCCTCCAGATGGGCTTCCTTTGCCTGGCAGCACACACTGCACATCTTACAGCAGGGAGGCAGAACGCGCTAGGAAGGCACATCTCAGCCATCAGACTGACACTTCTTTATTACAGCATATTTATTTTTTGTCACGTGCTTTGACAGAAGTCTCATAAAGTGTTACGCTCCTTCTGTAGCGTCAAAGTCTGGTGACCCTCCATGATTTTACAGAGGAGGAACATAATTTTAGAGGGCATGTTTATTATTTCTGAAAACAGTCCGTTTTCTATGCCAAGAGAACAGTTTTTCTGGACATACTTAGATGACAGCTCCACTCCACTGGCTCGCCCTCCTGACGAAGTCTCTCCTGCCAAGTGGTTTTGATCACAGTCTGGCAAACAACACCACATTAATAGCAGAGCTGAGCAAATAACCTCCAAAAAACTGCTGATTTTTTAAAAAACTTCTTTTCACTGCCTGCATGATATCCCCGAATCAAATGCGGTTTCCTCGAGCGCTGAAGGACTCTAATTTTTATAAAGAAAAAGTGAAATCCATGGTATCAGAAGGGCTGTTTGCAGAATGGTTGGCAGTGATGAAGCAGCCCGTCTGCTGAGACCTTGCTGCACAACTGCACGTGGCTGTCAGTTCAAGCTCTGGAAACACAGCTTGCAGCTCTGTTTGTACTGACACAACCTTCACAGAAGGGGGCAATGAGATCACAGCCAAAGCAAACCTGCTTTAAAATATAGCTCCCCAGCAGCACTCCCATCTCTACATGAGAGCTGCCCCTGCCCTCTGCATACCCAGCTCGAGGAGCATCAACGGATTCATAGAATCAGGGAATCATTCGAGTTGGAAGGGACTCCTAAAGGCCATCTGGTCCAACTCCCCTGCACAGAGCAGGGACACCTAAAGCTCCATCAGGTGCTCTGAGCACAAGCAGCCTGACCTCGGATGTCTGCAGGCACCTATCACCTCTCAGGGCAATCTGTGCCGCTGCCTCACCACCTTTATCCTAAAAAACTTTTCCTTATATCAAATCAGAACCTCCCCAATGAGAATTCTTCCTTTGAATATGTGTAATTCCCTCTGTCAAAGCCTAATCCTGAAGTCTCTCTGGGTTCTGTTCAGTGCCTTGAAAACCATTTACACAAGGCTTCACATCTGCAGCTCAGCCTTCCTGATCTCGCCTTCCTACACAAACTTTGGGACAGATTGCTCTGCTTTGGCAACTAAAACCAGCATAGAGCCATCGCCCCACTCTGCTTCTCAGCCATCCCATGCAGTTTGTCAAGAAGCAATTCCTCCTTGTCCTTGTCCTATCTTTCCAAGGGAAAAAAATAAAATAAAAAATCACTTCTTTAATCCCTCCTCTTTCAACATTTCCCTTCATTTCCCTTCAGAAGCAGCCATTCCACAGTGTAAAC